CCCCTTTATTTCTCCTCCCTATCTCCTCTCTGTCTCCATACTCTCTCCCCTCTCTCTCTACTCTTCCTCTCCCCATCCCTCCCCTTTTTAAGAATCGAACTTGGCGCTCTCTCAGCCTTGCCTTCCCCGCCTTTGTCATGCACCTGTCTCGTCCCAGCCTCTCCATTCCTCTCACTGCCCTCTCTTACGGAGCGAGAAGGCCAATTAAAAGGCCGGCCAGGCCCCGCGCGCCATTCGGGAGAGTGGAATATCACACCGGCTGTAATCCTTTCGGCGGGCTGCATTGCAAGGCCTGAGCCGGATAACGACGGTGCAATGTGTAATGGCTTTGCGGTGGCGTTGATGCTTTTCGTTGCCGAGATGTGCTGCTCTATTTCCTATGCTTGATGGGGCTTGAAAGATGTCCTCTGGCGGGAGGAACTGCAGTATTTGGCTACAACTTGATGGCATCATTTGTCCATTTCCATGAGTTCAGAGCAGTGGCGTTAGTCTGAGTATCTGTTTATACTGAGATTAGAAAGATATTCTTCTTTTTTCTTCTCCCTCTACCTGACCTCTCCAAATTCAGTTTCTAGTGCTATCCTCTCCTTAGCACTCGGTAACACAAGATTGTTGCTCCACAATTAGGCTCCATTCCTTGCCGAGTTTCTTTGGCAACAAACACTGCATCCGTTGCCGCCCATGGATCACAGTTCCTCCAAGAACTCTCCTGCGGTGCCCGGCAGATGGACATGGCGTGAAAAAGTCTTTAGTATCATAATTTTCCACGTCCTGAATGCTTGATTTTTTCATAGGACATAAAGGGGATCAGTTTGATGGTTCACATATAGTTCTTACCGGGGTCTATAGATCCTGATTCTCACCTTACGACGTTGTGCAAACAAATACATTTACCGTTCCGTTGTGAACAAGCTAAATGTGGCCAATAGAAGGTTTGAACGGCTTTACAAAAAATATATATGGAGTTTGTTACCTATCATGATTTTTAGTGTATGATTTTTAAAGTTGATTGTAAAGTTATGTGTATCTAAATGTATATTCCTGCTGAAAACCTGCGAGTAAGATGTGGCCCGATCTCCGGACTACATCTTACTCAAAATGCTATCGAAAATTGTCTCCAACGGTGGAGTAGTCTCATACATGTAAACGATGAACGATGAATCACAAGTGGTGAGGTGTGTTACCCTTTGTTTGAATAACCGAAAGTCGATAATGGATGGAAAATTTGCTTTGTGTGAACACTGTGTCAAAGTATTATCCGACGACTGCTTGTGTTTGCGCAAACATATAGATATGCTGTAGGTGCCCATGAAGGAGACTCGAACAGCATATGCATCATGGCCCCGGCAGGTGTTGTATTGACGCGTCGGGTGACTAGTCTCTGCGACCGCCGCGTGTTACGTGACCAGACAGGATCCCGTTACAAGCAAAGATCACGTGACGTACATAGTATAAGCACCCGCCTGTGAACCGACCTGCCGCTTAAGGACCACTAGGCTAAACAGTAATTTATCTGAAGTTTTCCTCTTGACTGCTCTGTGAGGCAGACGAGAGAGAGAGAGAGAGAGAGAGAGAGAGAGAGAGAGAGAGAGAGAGAGAGAGAGAGAGAGAGAGAGAGAGAGAGAGAGAGAGAGAGGGGGGGGGGGGGGGGGAGGGAGGAAGAGGGAGTGGGAAGAGAGAGAAGAGAGTGAGAGAGGATGAGATAAAGAGAATAAGAGGATGAGAGAGAGAGTGAGAGGATGAGAAATAGAGAGAGAGTGAGAGGATGAGTGAGAGAGAGCGAGTGAGGAAACGAGGGAGGGCTGAGAGAGAGAGACTGAGGAGATGCATGCCTAAAATGTACTGCAGGATCGAACGGGTTGAACTGTTCGCTTGCGCTGAAGGCGATTCTGATTCTGTTCGTAGTAAGAGTGGCGGTGGCCGAGATCAGCGTGAATGGGCGGCGCACGAGGGTGAGGGCGGCACGTGACAGTGGAAGGTATCCAACAGAAACAATCAGACGCGGGATCAATAGTCGACTGTGTCACGCCTGCCTGCATATCCCGCCCGTCCGTCCGTACGTTGGATGAATGTGTAACCGCCCGCATACCTGCTCGCATCCATGGTGACTGGGGACACGAGGGCCGGAGGACGGCGAGCGACGCGGCCCAGCCTGCCCCTCCTCCTCCGCGCTGCACACTCCAAGCAAAGGAGAGGCAAGGAGCATATTGAACATATTGCAGGGCCATCGTGCAAATAAAACACTGTTAATCACCCTTCGGACTTCATGGAGGACACGGGGACACATCATGGCTAGAAAGGGCAAGTATTCGATAAGATTGAGTGCTTATCTTGACATCATGCACCTGATAGACTTAAGTTTAAAGAGCATTTCCCTTACTTCCTCCACCATGTTTTTTTTCCTCACAGCCGCCTTAGCACCACTAACTTTAAGACAGTGATGGATTAAGGCAAGAACCTTGCCCTGGCGGTCTGCTGCAGGTCGCGACACCACTTCCATTTGCTGCTAAACCGTATTTTCCTACGATAGATAGCATCGAGACCAGGGAAAGTAACAAAGAATCTTGCCCAAGATGTAAGGGGGGTGATTGAGGGCCGGGTGACCAGCAAAGAGGCGTGGGCGTAGTAATTGCCTTTGGAGCGGAAGCATCCCCGAGGGCCCATCTTGCCTGGCTAGACCTTTCTTCCGCCTCAAGACGCGATAACAGAGTGAATATCCTTTTACTAGAAAGAAGGATCACCTGATATGATCTCATATGTGAGATCGTTATTATTTACGGACCTTTTTATATGTTGTATAGTTTTCATGTAACCATCCTTTAGTCATATTTTGCAGCGGTAATACATCGATAAATGTTTTATATTTACTTTTATTTTAAATTATTGTCACCCTTATTTTAACGGTCAAGATGAGACGTTCACAGCAGAGATGACAGGTTTGCATGACGACTTGCAAGAGGATCCGGTAGTGTTTCCCAGTATTAGCTTAGGGTTAAAGATGTCCTTCCTGGCGGGGCTTCACCTGAAGCTCTCACTCTTTCTTGGCTGACGGGCATTTGCATTGGGGCAGCCCTCAAGCCCGGGCCAACAGCGCCATTGTTCGGGCATCACTCGATCTGCCTGTCAGTGGCTCGGCCGCTGCGCCGGGCCTGCACGGAAACATTTCACGTGAATAGATTTTCTCCGCCTTTATGTAAGGCGTGTTGAGATAGCATCTCCTCCAACTTGGTGGTCATTGTATTTCCGTCTTGGCTGATCAATTCGCGAACTTTCTACGGGAAGCTACAGACGTATTTTGGATTCTATGTTTAAGACTATGTTGTTATTCCAATATGGCAACGATATTTGGACTTTTTGATTTCATGGAAAGTAACAACCATATTATAACATTTGTTTTAAACAAGGTAGTATCAGCGAAATATAGGTTGCCGTTTCTTTTTATGGGCATGTGAAATACTGAATCCTATAACACCAAGAAAGAACTATTATAATACATATTATATTATGAAATTATCGAATCCCCTTTCTGAGTCCATTATCTTGAGTCACTGGCCAGGTGGCGGGGCAGAAACCATATCCCAACAGATAAGAGTTGGTATGTCTTCTATGTCTGTCGTTAATTAATCCTTGGCAGGAAGCTGGCGCAGTCCCGTCCTTGCCATGCATCACGCTGCGGCCGTCCGTGTGGGGAATGCCAATGCGAATGTCCGCGACGGTAAGTGTCGGATCAGAGGGCTCGAGGCTGACCTTTACTTATA